GTATGTGTGTGCCGGTACTGGGACTTGAACTCAGAACCTGGGTGCTGGCCCTTCTTTTCTGCTCCAAGGCTGGTACTCTACCCCTTGAGCCATGCCTGAACTTCTGGTTTTTTGCTTGTTAATTGGAACATTTCTGTCTGGGCTGGCTTTGAACCTCCATCCTCAGATCTCAGCCCCCTGAGTAGCTAGGATGACAGGAGTTGGTCACCAGCAGGGACAGTGTAAGGATTTAAAGACTCTTATTTTGAAGGGGAGACAGAGCTGGCCCCTTTTTTCCTGCACCTGCATCTCCTGGTCTAATGAGTTTAGGCTGATGGAACCCAGACCCCAGGAAGGATTAGAAATTCTCATTTGATTTGATTTGCCGCTAACATACCTGGAACCAGCTGTGTCTGCCCCGCTGACCCCAGCAGCGCTGGCCTTGCTGGGAAGGCTGGGGTTCCCTGCTGTGGGGTGGGGAGAGGGGGGTGACAGGCAGGGAGGGGCCACAGCCCTGCTCCTACTGGGCCACCTGGGAAAACAGCGACCTAAGCAGCATCCTGAGTTTCCCACCCTCCGATGGCGACCTCTGCCTCCAGTCTCTCCAGGAGGATAGAGTTGACTTACCCTGAGTCCCTTGCTGTGGCTGGCAGAGCCTGGGTCCTATCCAGACCGTTGGACCCCAGTTCCCATGGGCAGCCCAGCAGCTTCGTGAGCTGAGTGAGGCTGGGGGGGTCTCTTCCTCTAAGTGGGCCTGAGGGGGGCTTCCAGCCTCTCCTGACATACTGGGGAGCAGCCAGGTGCCAGGCAGGTGAACGTGGGCAGAGCAGAGACAAGCAAACAACACAGCGCCCATCCTGGAAGACCGTCAAAGGCACCAGGCGCCCCAAGGACTGCGGCACCACACGGATCCCGGTGCTGCGGGGTCTCCCGAGCAGCACCACCACCCCAGAAAATGGCCAGGCCGTACCGCAGACGAGCGTGGGCCATGCTGCGGGCAGCAGCGCGGGGGACCAGGTTTGTAGGACCAGAATCCCTGGTGGAGGACAGTGCTGCAGAGCCCAGGGCTCACCCTGCTCATGGGGCGGGCGTCTGCTGCCCCACCGGTCACCAGAGGCCGCCACAGGTGCAAACCCAGCTGGGGACAGAGCGCCCTGGGGACTGCCTAAAAGGAAATTGTGTTGTGTGTCGCTGCCTGTGCCTCGGGCCCCTCAGTAGTGATGGCTGTGGCAGGCGCCGGGTGCCATGGGACTGAGCTGAGCCACGTGAGTTCCCACGGAGGTGACCACGAGCCACACAGAGCGCTCAGGGGATAACAGCAAAGCAGAGCACTTAGCTGCTAAGCCACACTGGCCACCTCCCTGGGCCCAGGTGGCCTGTGGCTGCCATCTTGGTGGTACAGGCGCGATGGACAGTGTTGGCGCCTGTGCCTGGCATCGCCGCTGGGAGGCAGAGTGACTTGGTGGCTTGCGAGGTGCGGCCCGCCGGCGGGCTGGGCAGGAACCGGCGCAGCCGAGGCAGACTCTTACCATGATGCCCAGGCCTAAGCAATCCTCTGACTGAGAGGTGAAGTGGGGACCCGGGACCCCTGGGGAGGCTTGGCCTGAGGACTGAGGGCTGCAGGATGGATGGACGAGACTGAGGGCTGCAGGATGGATGGACGTGGACGGCTCCTCTTCCCCCTCCTCCCACCTCTGGGTCCCTTCTAGGCAAAGAACTGTCCCAGCCCTGGAGATCATTAATTAGCCCCAGCTTGCCTTCCTCTCCAGCTCTGCCCACTTCCCACCGCTGGCATTGTGAGCAGCGTTGTATAGGGCCTGGTCGCACAAACATCTGTGCAAGCCACCCGAATCAGGACGAAAAGATCCCCAGATGCCTCTGTGTGCACCCCCCTCCCCCATCTGAGGGGACTGGCAGTGGGGGGGGCTGGGGCCCGGTTGGGGGGAAGTTCCCTGGTAAAGCCAGGGAGAGTGGATGGTGCGTTCGGCTTTTACCAGCGTGGCGGGTGAGCCGTGGGTGTGTGAGGGAGCGGGACATGGCCGTGGTGGAGTCCTGCAGAGCCTCTGGTCAGCTCTGGCCATCAAAGGAGGGCAAGTGACTTGTCTGTCCAGCTCGGCATCCTCGCCTGTGGAGGGGGCGAGGTGCGTGTGCTAGCCTCGGGTCAGGGGTCAGGGGTCAGGGAGGTGCCGGGGAGACATGGCACCCAGCCAGTGGGCACGCTGCCTCATCTGGGGCCCGGATGCCGTCACAGACAGCAGGGCAGAACAGAACGGAAAGCAGCAGCCGTGGGCTGGGCCGGGGGCGGTCCTCAGTGGTGGGCAGCAGTCACTGTGGTTCCCTGGGCACCTCCTGTGAAGCTGCCAGCTGCTCCCTCTCCCCTGCCCCTAGCTGTGCAGCTCTGTCCCTGCCAAGGGATGGCGCTGTGCCCACAGCCCTGGGCATTCTTGTCACCCCCCGTCTTCAGACGTTGGAATCGGAGCCGTTGTTGGCTTCTTCCTGTTGCCTTGGAAGAGGCTTCTTGTCCATCCCTCATCCTTTTATGGAGCCAGATTGGGGGCAAGGTATATCGGCTCATTTATCTCGCCCGGGTTCATAGTGGCAGCCCGAGTGCCAGGTAGAAGGAAAGAGTACCGTGATCGCTTAGTGATGCCTGCCTTGTGGGCAGGAAGGCAGACGGGATGAGTGTGCTGTTTATGTACCATGCCCTGTCCAGGCCCTTCCTCCAAGTTCTGGCTGCCTCCATTCTCCTCACAACACTTCCCACGGGATCACTTGTCTTAGAGCCAAAGCTCTCCCCAGGGTGCCGGCCTGCACCACAAGGGACCAAACCAGTCTTATTAATGGATGGAGGACTGTCTCCTCAGCCTGGAACCCAAGCCCCTTCCCAGTGAAGAGCTAACCACGTCTTATTCTTGTCTCCCAGTCCTTCAGCCATGCTGTTCCCTCTGCCTGTGTTGCCTTGCCCTGGCCTCCCAGGCCAGCCAACCTTGTTCTTCCTGAATCCTTCTAGCTCCTTCTCTGTGAGAACTCACCTTAGAGTTGCTCAAGTCAATGGAACAAGCCTTCCCCTAGGGACTGGGTCTCCTGATCCATCCCCTGTTCCCTCCAACTTTGAACACAGCAGCTCCACGTAAGGTGTTTGCCCAACAGAGATGTGTGCACCCAGAGGAAAGTGAGAGACATATCCAGACTCATCAAAAGTGAGTCCTGAGCTGGGCACCACTGGTGGCTCACGCCTGTAATCCTAGCTACTCAGGAGGCTGAGCGCTAAAGATCACAGTTCAAAGCCAGAAGTGCAGCTGTTGCTTAAGTGATATAGTATTAGCCTTGAGTGGTAGGGTGGTGGGGTGGGGTGGTAGGTGGGTGGGAGATGACAAAAAAACACAAAACGCGTGCGCACACACACACACACACACATACATGAACAGCGAAGGCACTGGTGACTCACACTTGTGATCCTAGCTACTCAGAAGGTTGAATCTGAGGATCACGGTTCAAAGCCAACTGGGTAGGAAAGTCCACAAGACCCTTATCTCTAATAAGCTGTGCAGAAAAAGCTACAAGTGTTGCAGTGGCTCAAGTGGTAGAGCGCTAGCGTTGAGCACAAAGAGGCCCAGGGACAGTGCCCAGGCCTGGAGTTCAAACCCCAGGACTGGCACAAACAAAAAGAGCTGGGCCAGACACCACTAGTGGCTCAAGCCTGTAAGCCCAGCTACTCAGAGGCTGTGATCGGAGGATTGTGCATGGTCAGGAAAGCCCAGAAGATTCTTACCTCTAATGAACCACTGAAAAGCTCCACCAGAAGTAGGAGCTGTGGCTCAAGAGGTAGAGTAGTAGCTTTGAGCATGAAAGCGCAGGGATACTGCCTAGGTCCTAACCAATCAAAAGCAAAAAAGTTCCGGCTATGACTGTGCTGGGATCTGTCTCAGTGGAGACGGATGGGCTTGGGACCCAGCACCATGTGGATAGCCTCGGGCGGGCGCAGGGAGGGGACACGCGTCCCTTCCGTGGTCAAACAACAGGTGCCTGATGGTGGTGGTGGGATAGTGGTTGGCCCTGGGGGGGGGGAGGGGGCACGGGGAGCCTGCTGGTGTCTTTGGTACTGGATGAGTTGAGTCCTGCCCGGGCTGTGCTCCTGTTGGGAAGTTCTTCAGCTTCCAGAACTCCCCCTGTGCTCCTCACTGTGGGCTAGGTGGGAGTCAGGTCCAGTGACCTCTGTCATACCTGGGAGCCCTACGAAGCGGCCGGCTGGGCCGGGCCTGGGGTTCAGGGTGCAGGCCTTCTCTACCCTTCTTCCTACAGAGCTCCGTCAAGGCGGGGCATCTTGCATTTGGGAATTTATTCAAGCTCCAAGAAAGCAGTTGTCATGGCAGATGGCCACCCTGAGATGACCGCACTGCCCTGTGAGCACTTCCTGCCTGTGCGTTTCTGGGTGTGTATATAATTGGGCTCGTGTTTGTGAGGCTCAGAACTGCTGTGTTTGCAGAGCACCCCGACTCTAATTAGCTTAAAGAGGTCTTGTTTGACGTAGCAGATCAGGAGACAGCAGCCCTGACCTCCGGGAGAGGTGGGGACCACAGACAGGGGCTTGAACCTGCGGGTACTCCCTCAGTCCTCTCCCTCTCCCTCTCCCTCTCCCTCTCCCTCTCCCTCTCCCT